ATCTTCCGGAGGCGCTCCAAGACTTCGTCCTCTGTCAGCTCCCTCGTCGAAACCATCCGGGACGGGTCCTCGTCCCCGGCATACTCAAAGCCATAGGTCTCCCTCGCCTTCACGGGCTGAACCCAGCGACGAAGGTAGCTAGCCACGATCTCGAACCCAGTCAAGCCTTGTTGTTTCAAGGTCTTGATTCTATCAAGGAGCGGCTTGATTTTCTGAAGCTCCTCAGTCGTCAATAGAGTTTACTCCCACCGGTCATTAATGACTAGACCAGCATCCGAATGCACAGCAAGGGGAGGATCTATATTACCAACATAAAACCACTCGGTCCTCTAGTCTTTCACTGAATCAACTAAAGTGTAATCGAAGTAGTCCTTCTGCTTGTTCTGGCGAAACTGAATACCGCACCCGCCCAGGACAGAAGTATTGTCAGACCTAGGGTGCGATTTTCAGATGGAAAAGATACCGGAAGAGCGTGATAGAAGGGAGGATTCCAAGGAAAGTTTCATAAAAATAAACGAGATGAAGAACCCCATTCGGGGTGAGATGATTTAAAGAAATATCAAAGTAACAAAGGAAGCGATGAAGGAAAGGAGAAGCAGGGAGGCACATGCCAGCATGAACGAAAGACAGGAAAAGAACAATCTCCCCAGGGTTGAGATAAGGAACTCGATGCTCACCAGGCGCCCTCCACTCAGCAAGACTCTTCTCCTAGATCAAACCCTCATCGGCCAACTCCTTCAACTGCTCCTCTTTAGTGCTCGGAGCAGGCCAGTTGTTAGCCACAGCCCTCATGGCCATGAACTCTTGGTTCCCAATCACAGAAATCGATGCCTCCTCATCCACAAAGGCCGCCTGGGACTTGCTCGATGACATCTTCTTACCCATGTACTAGCAAAAGTACTAAGCACTAAAGATGGCGGCGCTCAGATGACGGCGACAATGGCAGCGGCGGCGCTTTGAGTGCTAGGGTTTCAAGGCAAAAGCAGGGTAGAAAAGAAGAAGAAGAAGAAGAAAGGCCATTAAATAGATTTACAACGGTAAAAACGTGGCCACCAGGCCCGTTTAACACGACATGGGAACGCAACGGTCTATCTTTCGCCATAACTGACGTGACTAAAATGACGGACGACACACCTTTTCACAACAGTACAGTTCTACGGGTAGATTTCAGACTTATCCATTCAGTACCACGGCAGAGTTGTTATATTACTCCAAAAAGAACTCACTAACCATGAATCAAAAAAGGGTTACCACACAAGGAAGACAAAGAACTCAATTTTCACAAAAAGAACTCGGGAGTCTTAGAAACAACCACGACAATACAACAAGAAGAAGAACGATAACTCAGAAGATAAGATTCTTTCCATTACAAATGACTTTGAAAGATACAAGATTACACATCTCACAAGACCCAACGAACTCGGTACTACGACAAGGAACCTGGACATAACTAGGCTCTGGAACGACTACGTGTTACAAATTACTACTCGGCAGAACACATCCCACTCGGCTACACTATTTTCTTCAAAGGACGGGCGCAGTGCATCCAAGACGGAAATCAGCAGCGCAGCGGGACAACATGGACCAGGGGAGGCTTGCAGGCATCAGTCTACCCAAGTCCGATGTGATGCTGGATCAGGTGTTGATCTGCACCGGACAGTCGCAAGGCAGGCGAGGAGGATCAACCCAGAACTACTGGATGAGGGAACGTATCCCACATCACAAGACTTCCTCCACCTACCGCCACGTACTTCCTGGTACAATGCTGCTGCGAGATTAGTCTACCTCTAATCTCTATCACAAGACTTCCTCCATCTACTACAAGATATACAAGAATTACAGCTCACGCCCGGGGGCTGCTCTACTTCACAAACTATCATGACTAAGAAAGCTTCAGACCATACAACAAGACGCCTGATGAATCGAAGCAGCACAACAGCAGGGTATTTATAGGCCAGGGAGTGGTGCACATAGACCGGGAGCACCAACAGAACAAGCCTGACAAAGGACTCAGTGAAAAGACAGAAAGCAATAAAAGAGGACACGCGCGTGAAGGAACAGTACTCAAGAACAAGCATATTCGGAAGAATATACCAACATTGTACAACTCGTGAATGAGCAGCATTTATACTCAACCACCACCTTACACCTACCTCTGACAAAAGCAGGCTACCTGAGAATATGACAAAAGACCCTCTATCCGAGTTCTTTTTGAACAAAAGAACCCGCATATATGCTCGGGGGCTGCAGGGTACATATCCTCAGAAGAGGTTTTTAGTTTTTCCAACGACAAAGATTCAAGACCCTCCAACTTTTTGTTTCAAATAGCAAGAGGCTCGGGGGCTACACTCAGTGAGTGAAAGTGCACGTCACTCAGAAGACTTCTTCAAAATAGGACCACTTCAAGGCTTCACGTCGAAAGAACCCGGACCGAGCTTGATTCGCCAGGCAAAGCTAGGAAACAAGGAGGCTTTCGAGTTCAACCATGAAATGCTTGGGGGCTTGTCAATGCGGGATCCACAGGGTTCCCCGGCGAAGTGATTACGACCCGTGGGCCCTGGCCTAGCCCACGGGCAGAAGCGAGAAGAGGTGCGGCGTCTGCTACACCGAATCCGAGTAGAATAGGCCAGACTAGCCAGATTCCTATGAAAAGTACCTTCTGTATTTTAGTTCAGGACACCTTCAGATTCGACTAGGATTGTAATCGCTCCATGGCCTTCTCTGTTTATATAAAGAGAGGCCGTGGGCACCCCTGTAGGATGAATCACAACACGACATTACGATCAATCCAACACAAAGGCTAACGCTGACCGGACGTATGGCTGTTACTCGATCACGGTTGAGGGCCCAAACCAGTATAAATCGACTGTCTCTTGCGTTAACCATCGACTCCAGCGTATGCCGAAGCCCAAACAACTGCCCCGGGTACCCCCGTGGTAGGCTATCGGTGGTAGAACATCGATAAGACCCTAAGGAGGTGGCCATTTGACAAAAGGTTTGAGAAGAGTGGTTAGTGGAGTGTTTTTACACTCACCAGAATGCATCCACTAGAGTTTAATTAGAGCACATGGCCCTGCACAGTGTTGTACGGTGAGAGTGTTCTGTGTGAGCCCTGACTCCCTGTGGGCAACAGAGTGCAACCACCAGAGCTTAGGCTCTAATAAGGTTGGGACATGTGTCAGTGATCAGAGGCACACGGGAGTTTTTAAAAGAGATCACCAGAGCTCTTCAGTGAGGTGCACCGGAGAGTAAAAGTAAGGGGTTTAACCCTTCTGCAGAGACCTCCAGGGACCAATGGATCCCTCCAATGAGGGGCACTGGAGAAAACCAGTGGCTCGAGAGGCTTTTGCAGAGCTCTCTAGAGCGCACCTGGAAGCTCCGGTGGTATACCAGAGTTTAGTTCAAGATATGAGCATGGGAAGATAGAACGCACTAGAGCTCTCTGGTGCTCACCGGAGAGGAGCACCAGAGCTTCGAGAACATCAATGGCTAAGAAAAACTTCCGGCCCTAACCACTACCAGCTATGAGCAATAATATCCATCCAGAGTAGATGGTTTCCGTTGCAGAGCAAGCCGTTACAAAATTTATTCAAATTAATTCACTTCTTTTGAAACAATACAAATTCCAAACAACAACAATAAAAAAACTAAGTTTGTCACACCATAAGTACAAAAACAGAAAAAAAAGGAAAAGAATTAACAGCTGCAACTTGCAAGCATTGTTGCTTCCATGAGCATAGCAGCACGGCATGTCTCTCCTAGAAACAGAAGACCACATCAGAGACACTATCCTTCTCCTGCTTCCACGTCACATCGACCATCAGCTTCCCGCCATCCACCCATTCAAATTCAGCCTCGCAGCCATCCACCAGGCTCTTCTTCGGTGCCACGTCAGAGTACACCAGTAGCCGTCCTCCCCCCTTCATCCTCATCCTCACCTCGCCTCCACTGCCGTGCTCAACATCAACGATGGTGCCTCCACAGTTCAGCAAGTCAACCAGCCCAATCGGCGCAAAGCGCGCTTTGGCGTCACCGCCGCCGATGGTTGTGACTGGGACAAATGTGAAGAGCTCAAAGGAGGATGGCTGGAGGGTGAAGTGGATGGGTTCTGAATCTGGTGTCATCGGGCCTGTTCACTGGTTGGTGTTGGTGCTGGTTTGGACTGGCTAGTGCTGGTTTTTTGTGAGAGGAAAACACTGTTGGCTGGCTGGTTTGGGCTGGCTGAAACCAACAAGCGAACAAGCTGATCAAGAGGAGCTCCTCGGTTTGGCATCGGTAGACTGCATATGATGCAGCTTTCGCCATGGCGGACGTGTCTTCCCTCTGGCCCCACTCAACGTCGGCAGGCCGGACATCGCCGGAGACCAGCTTGTACCAGTGTGAGTAGCCTCGGACACAGTGCTCCACCGGGTCCCATCCTGCTCCTTGGCAGTTGAGGGGGTGTTTAGTTGGGGTGGAGAAAATTTTTGGACGTCACATCGGATGTGTCGGAAAGATGTCGGGAGGGGTTTTTGGATACTAATAAAAAAATAAATTACAGAACCCATCAGGAAACTGCGAGACAAATCTAATGATACTAATTAATCGGTCATTAGCACATGTGGGTTACTATAGCACTTACGGCTTTTAATGCACTAATTAGGCTTAAAAGATTCGTCTCGCGATTTCGCCAATTAGTTTTTTTTTTCATTTACGTTTAGTACTCCATGTATGTGTCCAAACATGTTCTTTTACTGTAGAAGGCAAAAAAATTTGGAAACTAAACCGGGCTGAATGCCCCCAATGACCCCTCCAAACTGCAAAAATTGGACGGTTTCAGAACTCTGATGGTATGGTACTACACGACTAGTACATGCCACTTGGAATGCTACTTGTCAAGAGCAACAATTCAAAAACTGCAGAGAGATATTTAAGTTATACAAATGATAACAAAACATCTTAGTTAATTTGTGGTGACAGCAAACACTAAGGAAAGGTGGATATAAAAAATCTGACCTTGTTCAGGTTCCAAATCTTGAGGACGGTCTGCTGATCAAAGAGCGGATTTTTGAACAGGCAGTCTCTGGTGGGGAGAGCATAGTGCAGGCACCTGGGCACGGTGCCATCGGGGAAGACGAGCCTCCTGAGCAGGCAAAGTCGTGGCCGCCGAGGGAGTCGCTGACGTAGACGGGGCCGCCGCAGATGGCCCTGGACGCGGCGTGGAAGGCGGCGCAGGTGTGGTCGGACTGGAACATGTCCCAGTCCGGGCGGATGAACTGCCCCATCCACAGGCTGTTGTAGGCGCAGTTCACCATGTGAGCGCCCTGCAGCCAGAACACGCCCATGGGGTCGCCGTTGGGGTCCTCGAACCAGAAGTCGTCGCCGGCGCGGCCCATGGCCACCTGCCGCGTGCCCAGGAAGAAGAAGTCGTTGCACTGCTGCATGCTGGCGATGATGCCAGTGCCGACGAAGTTCTTGGCGATGGACTTGGAGAGCCCGTCGTAGTAGGCCTTGGCGAGCTCCACGCGCCCGCCGTGCTCCTCGCACACGTACTCCAGCGTGTGCACGACGTTGACTTTGACGCCGGTGACGCCCGCGCCGGCGAGGTACGAGTGCATGGATTCGTAGAGGTCGCCGGCCTGGTCGGGGCGCACCAGGCCGATCCCTCCCTCGATGATGCGGTCCACGGCGAGGTCCTCCATTGTGCCGGCCAGCCCCGGGGACGGCCGCGCCGGCACGACCCGCGAGTCCAGGTGCGTCGCGCCGGGGCGCACACCACCCCACCCGCCGCACAGCGCCTGCCACACGTACACGTCGTCCAGCCCCGGGAACCTGCGCCTCATGTCCTTCAGGAACGCCTTCAGCCCCACCTCGCCGTCGCCGTCGTTGTCGTCGAGCTTCGCCAGCATGGCGTCCCTCTGCACGAGCAGCTGGTCGAGCTCTCGCGGCATCTGCGCGACTTTTGCGTCAAAGCTCGAGAGGTCGGTGGCACCACCCTGCGCCGCCTTCTTCTTCGCCTTCCCGGCATTCTCGATCTCCGCGGCCTTGCGCACGACGGCCTTGGACATGCCCTTATCGTAGAACACCGGGCGGCGGACGGCGGATCAGGGCGCCCTCCCTGTACCCGCGGAAGCGCGCGAACTCGTCGAAGCGGTAGAGGCGCGCGGTCATCTGGTCGCCGCCGAGCACGAGGCCCCGCGCGTCCTCTTGCGGCGGGTCGTCGTCGCGGTTCACGCTCTGCCAGCCGTCGTCGATGATGAGGAACCGCGGGGGCACGCCGGCGTCGGCGAACTCCGACACGCCCTGCCAGACCCCTGCCGGATCGACGGTGAGGTAGAAGGCGTCCCACATGCACCACCCGAACCGGTCCGCCATCGGCGGCAACGCCTTCTCCTGGATCAACCTGCGGCGAGTTTTGGCGCGCGTTCCAGTTCTAGAGTTAATCACAGCCGTCCGATCGTGAAATCAAGGGTCGAGACTGACACAGGTCACATCACAAAAGAATGAACGAAATTTTGTACTAGCAACAGACTACGAACCTGAACGTGCCGAGGTGCACCCTGGCGGCGAGGTAAGCCTCCTGCATGACCCTGTATGGGTCATCGCCGGCGTGCACGTAAGCGATGCGTCGGAAATCGGTGCCCGTGACGGCGGCAGACCCGCTCTCGGCGCAGACGACGACGCCGTCGTCCTCTCCAGGGAAGACGGCGGACCGAAAGCTCCCCTGCACGAGCGGGAGGACGAACACGTACCCCGCGCCGGCGCCGGCGAGCTCGGGCACCTCGAGGAGCACCCACTGCGTCTCCATCTGCAGGTCCCGCCCGCGCCGCCCGGCCCACGCCGTGCTCCACCACGTCTTGAACCGGAACACGCTCAGGAACCGCCGCGGGCCGGGCAGGCGCCCCACGCGGCACGGCGCGCGGCTCGCTGGCGACGGCAACGTGAAGCCCAGGAACGCGCCCCGGCTCGCGTTCGCGGCGGCTTGACTGGCCAGCTCCTCCGGCGCGTCCGACGACGCCTTGGTGGTAGAGTCGAAGGCCTCGGCGAACGGGATCAGCGTGACGTTCCCTGGCACGACCGTGAGAAGCGCGACGGCCGCGGCCTCGCCGGTCCCGCCGCCTACGGTGAGCGCGCCGTCCCGCAGCGAGAAGAGGCACGGCGGCGCGGACGACAAAGGGGTGGCCGCCTTGGATGCCACCGCGGTGCTGCCGGTGGTGGTGAGCTTGGGCGCCGCGGCGGCGACCTTGGGTGTCGGCTTCGACTCGTTAGGCGGCGCCATTGGCAGCGCGATGGTCAAGAACGAGCAGAGGGTCGCTCTCGCTCGGATGGTGTATGGCTGGCTGCTGTTCTCTATGCTAGCTGGGCGCTGGCGCTGGCCAAGGTCGCTGAGAAGGACGGAGCGGGTTCCATGGCGGTATATAGGCGCGGGAGCGGGAGCGGTGAGGACGAAGGTGGCGGGCCCTTTTTCTTTTTCTTTTTTGAAACACAGATGCGTCTGGAGCGTGATGGTGTCGTCGTGTACGTGCGGTGGGCGACATGCAGTGTCTGCACTCTGCAGAGGTTCCAGACGTGGTGGAGCACGGCCTGGGCGGCTGGGCGAATGATGTATGCAGCGGCTGCCACTGTACAAAAATACAGGGCCTGAGCGGTGCGGCGCGGGCACCACGCTACTGACGTCACGTGCATCACAGAAGTGGTGAAATTTTTGCATTTTGGTCCCTTTTGAAAACATTTTTTACAAAAAGACCTATGTCAAAACGTTTGCTGAAAATAGACCATTTTTAGGCGTCTTAGAACATGACGCCAAGGTATGAGGGTCGGCGTCGACTGACTCGACGTCGAGGTCTTGCCACGTCACGGACGACCCCGGTCGACGGCGACACGGTGGCGCATGGGGTCCGACACGTCGGCGTTGTGTCAACCAACGCCACAGGCCCAACCTCGACGCGGTGGGACTACACGCCGAGCTATTGGCACCATCCGGCGCGCGGCCCAGGCGGCCCAACAACGCTTCGTGGCCCAATAGCTCGGCGCGGCCCGACTCAACGCCGAGGTCTGGACTCTTGAAGCCGCGCCGCGGCCCCCTTCTTCTTCCTCCCTCCATTCTGAAAGCGCCGGCTCTCTGTCTCCCAAATCCCCCCACGGCCCCCACGAAACCCTAACCCCAAATACGACCCTAGGTGCCCGGATCTCGTCTCCTGAAGCTTCCTCGAGGTAATGGTCCCTCCCCTCCTCCAATCTATCCGCGTAGATGTGCTTGCATTGTCTCTAATCATGTGGAATCATGGGTGTATGGTGTTTTGGTATATGTGTATTTGCATTTGCAAAATGTATGTGATGAATACAGGCCCGATCTTCCGAGAGGTAGCCGGTAAGTTCGATTTGTGGAGATCTCGACGTTGGCGATCCGGCTTCAAATCAGACACGATTCGAACCCTGCAACCGTTACACCACCGCTCCGTTGGTTATCAACCAAGCACAACTTGATTGACCTCGCCAAGAAGGCTTTTCCTGCAAGCAAATCGAAGAGCACAAGCAAGAAGGTAAAACACGCAATCTGAAATTGCAAATATGAATGACGCGAATATCAATAGAGGGTTCAAGAACTCGGTTCCAAAGGACTAATCGACACAGTGGAGGAGATCAAGAACGGGGGCCCTGGATCACTGTAAAAGGATTTGTCACCACAGTTACAATGAACGATTTAGTTTCTCGATGGAAAACTAAACTCCAAACAAAACCCAATTGTGTAGCAGCGGTGGCGGCTGTGTTTATAGTCTAAGACTCGACCTAGGGTTGGGGACGGCCAGGGGTTGGGCGCCCACAACTTGGGCTTAAGGCCCGACACGATACATGGCCAAGTTGGCCCAAATAGGTGACGCAGCACCTTGTCGTGGTCACACAGAATGATCCACGGACCTTCTGGATCTGGGACCAGATCCAAAACGACGGCGTCGTCGTCCCCTTTCCAACGCATCCAAGAACGGCCCGTTTCGACGTCGTATGAAGAAGTTATGACCGAAACAGTGACGACGTGTCTGCTGAATCCGAGAGTGACGTGGCAGCTGAGTTGGGAACGAATTGCAACTTGGGGAAGACCATGGCGTCGGTGTGTCCAGCGTGGCGATGTCCTCATCAGTATGGCTTAGATTGATTGAGTGCATTGTTGTTTAACTGTTTTATGTGCTGAACATGTTAGGTTAGTTTGGTTTCTAGTTATTTTGGTCATTAGGGTTCTTTGTTTATTGTAGGTGTCAGTAGGGTTAGTTATTTATTGGTCATTAGGGTTAGTATGTATTTTAGTTATTTGTTGGTCATTAGATTTCAATTTTTTATGACTAGAACGTTTTGCCAAGGTACTCCTCTTTCCCCTCTTTCATTTCATCCATTTAGATTCGGTTGTTTGCATTTTTTTTATCTTGGCATTATAGGTTTGGTTCATGTTCATGTCATTCGTGCAATGTATGGTGGTTCAAATGATTAAATGACCCAAATGCATGGTTGTTGTTGTTGTATATGTTCTGGTTTATAATCATTGAGTTAAATTTTGTGTTTGTTGGGATTCAAATTTGCTTAGGGTTTGTAATGAAAAGCTTATTTGGGAGGTATGGTGATTTAGTGTTAGTAGCTTTACATTCGTTGCAAGGTACTTTGTATTGATTTTTTTTCTACGTAATGTTAGGATACCAAGGCGTGGTAAAGCTCGTATTCCAAAGTAATCCCAATGTTTATTCATTATTTGTGCAACAAATAGAAAACCCTAGGTTTAGGTTTGGTTCTCCGTTAATACGACTAAATTCTTTCAATTGTAGCTATAGTCGCCAGAGGGCAAATCCCTATGACCTAAAGCCTCTCCCTGAAGGTGTTCCTCGACCCATGTGCTTTTGTGGTGATCCTTGCAAGGTAGACATCTCTGAAGATGAGAAAACATATAGACAGAGGTACTGAATGTGTCCCAATTATGCATGGAAACCTACAAAGCAACAGCGCCGTGCATCGATTGTGAGGAATTTTTATTGTGTGTTAATTAATTTTCTTGTGATATTAAGTATTGCTTATTTATTTGTTTTGTAACAATTTGTTTTTCTTGCAGACCGTTCCACCACTGTGTGACTTTGAGCAGTGGATTGACACTGAGATCAAGGAGTCGGACAAGCAGCATCTAGAAGGCCTGAAGGAGTGGGATGCGGAGGTTAAGGAGAGGTTTGAGCAGAGACGCAGACAGGAGGCTATAGAAAAAGAGCATAAGGAAGAGGAGGAAAGGAGGAGTGTTGCTGCGTACAGGGCGGAGAGGGAGAAGAAGCTTGAGCGTGTGCGCTGAGCGAAGGCAACGATGGAGGAGAATCCCAATGTCCAGAGGAAGGGAAAGTGGCCTCGTTGCACTCAGTAGGTATTTGGTTTATTCATGAGCGATGTCGTGTAGCCCTGGACTTTTTTTACTATGTTGTAATGCACTCTGCTTTTATTTCAGATGAACTTATTCCCTAGACTTTTTTTATTATGTTGTAATGCACTATGCTTTTATTTCAGATGGTTTTATGCCCTGTACTTCGTTAACTATCCTAGGACTGTAGTGCTACTGTTTGTATCACTAAAAAGGCTACTTGTGCTGTTGCAGTCACTGAAAGGGCTACAAGTATTGTTGCAGTCAATGAAAAGTCTATTTGAAACTCACTGAAAAGCCTAGATTCGTTTACTATTGTATCCGTATACGCAATGAATTAATATCAGAGTGATGTACTGCATTTAGATGAAGTGACAAAACACAGGTGTAGCCTTTTCAGATGAAATGACCAGTCATGGTTGTAGGCTTTTCAGATGAAGCATCTAGCCTTTGTAGATTCAATAAATGAGTACGCACACAAGTTTTTTTGTCAAGTAGCATTCATGGTGAACCTGCCTTCATCTCTATATATAGTGCTCCATGTCTTGCTCCACATCCACACAACTTGTTTTCTGGTTTAGTTTTAGCAAATGTCGAGCGGAGGTTCCTCGAGTGGAAAGGGTTTCGGCAGAGGGAGAGGAAAGGGGGTGAGGAAGGGACCTCCGATTGTGTGGGAGGGTTCTCTGGGTCCTGATTCTTTTGAAGAACCAATAGAGGAATTTCCTTTGGAGAGGAAGAGTGACTTCACCCATGAGAGACCTCTTATATCATACGACAAGCGCATTGAAGATTAGCCAAAATGCCGCCACGGTTTGGATTACGTTGTGCAGATGTACAATGACTGTGACGGTGGAGGCCGTCGTTTCTTCAGATGCCCGCGAGGATTTGTATTTTCTTTGAACTCTCTCCTTTTTTAGATTTGCATTTGGTTTGTAGTAGTACTTATTGGTAGATGGGCTTTCAGGATTCAAGCTGTCCAGATAACTGTGGCTTCATTAGATGGGTCGACCCACCTCCTATCTATCCCCATCAACAGTACATCACATATCTACAGGGACGCATCTTTGACCTAGAGTATGGCCCTAGAAGTGGTAACAGGGACAAGTCGGATGACGACAACAGCAATGATGCAGAGGAGGCACTATGCAATAATCCGTACTGCTAGTGCCCGTACCATAAGAAGCATGGACCTCCTTCTCCACCGCCACCGCCACCGCCACCGCCGCCATCAACTGGAGGATACTATGGGGAAGGCGCAACTCAGTTCAATATGTGGGAGCATTATTAGGACCAACCTTTGTTAGTCAATCCGAATGTGGAATGCTTGTATGAGTTGTTCTTTTCAATCTCCTAAGGCATGCTAGGTTTAGTTTGCAACATGCCATTGTTAGTTTTCATGTGAGTGTGTAATCGTAGTACCTTTGCAACGTCTGTATCACTTGTTTCTTTCAATCCCCTAAGGCATGCTAGGTTTAGTTTGCGACATGCCATTGCTAGTTTTGATGTGAGTGTAATCGTTGTGCATTCGCTATTTCATAAATTGCAGTTTACCTATCTCTAAGTTTCATGTACTATGGTTGATTCCCAAACTGATTAAAAGATTTGACTCTCTCTAAAAATAGGGGATTGAAATCGAACCAACCTTCGGTTTTTCCTGCAGGAACAAACATAAATATAGCATGTCTACTCTTATTAGTATAACTCGTGTTAGTAGAAGAGGAATCGTTGAGAAAGATTTTTCATTTGAATCATGCAAATAGGATTTCAACCTATACCAAAGGTGCATACTCTTATGATTTATAGGCTCGGCGTCAAGTCGGACGACGCCGAGGTAGATGACCATGGTGTTGATTCGGCCCACGCCAACCCTAGGGTTTGGCTCGGCCATTTACGTG